ATACACATTCTATTTTGTTTCTCCTTCAGATGCTGAATCATCAAGCATGATATTCATTTACCAGATTTTTGTCTTTGGGTTTCCATCTTTTCTCTACTTTGTTCTACTGATATCTATGTCTGTAAGATCTGCTTTCTTTTTTCAAGTGAATTTTAGCTTTTAGGGCTTATTTACTTTGGAGTCATTGAGTTTCAAACTTGTAGAACCTCACTGTTCATTAGATTGGCTTTGAGGAGTCCTCCAAAATGCTATTATTGCTAGTGACAAAACTGGAGATTTGAACAGAATTCACCTTCATCTTTCTTTATTTTACTTTTAAAAACAAATGTATATATACTTTTAAAGTGTACAATATGATAATTCAATATACACCTATATAGTGAAATGATTATAGTCAAGCTAATTAACATATCCTCACATAGTTATCTTTTTTTTTTGGTGGTAAGACCACTTGAAATGTACTCTCATAGCAAATTTCCAGTATTCAGTACAGTATTATTAATTTAGTTATCCTGTGCATTAGATCTCTTACTCATCCTGACATAACTGCAACTTTGTAGACTTTGCCCAACATCTCCCCATTTCCTCCACCCCGACACTGGTAATCGCCATCTCCTCTGCTTCTGTTCTGCCTTTTTAGATTCCACATATAAGCGAGATCATGAAGTTTTTTCTTTCTGTTCCTAATGTCCTCCAGGTTCAACATTCAGTATATTTCTAATATGCAATGTGATATGTCCGTGTTTTCATATTTACCTTAATTGCTGGGTTGTAGAGTGGATAGTTTGAAATAAGATTCAGATTCGGTTAATATTTTTTAGTGCTTTTTTTGTATCAGGCAATATCATAGGTTCTAATATTATCCCATCCCCGTTTTATATAAGCAAAATGGAACCTTAGTGAGTTTAAAAGTTTGTATAAAATTTCGCAGCTAGTAAGTCAGAGAGCCAATGTTGAAACCTAGGTTTTTAAATTTCATGTATGTGCGCCATTTTTTTTAAAACTATTTTCTTCAGCTGTGCTTCATAGGTCCAGGGATTGCTGCATGGTGATCACTTGCACCTTCTAGTTCTAGCTAGGGTAACTCTTAAATTTTATCTCATGCATTAGAATTGAAAATTAATTTTCTTTATATTAAACTGCTTTTGCTATCTAAAGATGAAAAAAAAAGTGTGAAAGTAAGGATTCAAGTATGTGAAGGAATTAGTCTTACAGAAAAAGCTAACTTTGTCTTGGTGAACATATGCATGCTGTTGTTATACAAATGTTCCAAGACTGTTCCCCTCCTCCTACCTGCTTTATTCACTCACTCTGCCATATGGAAGGTTGTGCATTGCCGGATGGATTGTGATTTGGACTTTCATTATTCCTAATTGGAAGGCTGGGGAGAGGATAGACTCAGAAAATTTTTCAAGTAATTTGAAAGTGTGTCCTGCATAGTTCTGCAATGTGTGAGGGCAGTAGGAACGGTGAAAAAAGATGATTTTAAGGAGAGTTATGGACACCATGATGTTTGAGGAAAGTATGGAAAAAACTCTAGCCATTTTGAATTTGTTTTTTCCCATAAAGACTGGGAACCTTGTGGGATGTTCTTTTAATAAGATTTAAGCAGGTGAGATAGTGTCACATTTTTTCACTTTGTTTTCTCAAGTTTAGTGTTTTTGTAAAGATCACCATGGTTGCACGATGGAGAACAGATCAGAGAGAGGCTAGATTGAATGCAAGTGGACCAGTTAGGAAGCTATTGTAATAGCCAGGTTGGGCGATGATAGTTGATTGACCGGGATTAAAGTGTTGGAAAAAGAGGAAACAAATTTCTGATATGCACACTTTTTTTTTTAAAGAGAGGTATAATTGACATATAATATACTTGTTTCAGGTATACAACATAATGATTCGACGTTTGTCTGTATTGTGAAATGATCACCACAATAAGTCTAGTTAACATCTGTTCCATACATAATTATAAAATTTATTTTTCTTTTGATAGACTTTAAAAATTTACTCACTTAGCAACTTTCAAACATACAATACGGTATTATTAAACTGTAGTTGCCATGTTATACATTATATCCTGGTGACTTATCTATGAGCTTGTTTTTGTTGTTTGTTTTTTAGTATTTGTCTTTCTTTATCTGACTTATTTCACTTAGCATAATGCCCTCAGGGCCTATTCATGGTGTCACAAATGGCAAGATTTCATTCTTTTTTTATGACCGAATAGTATTCCATTGTATATCTATCTATATACCACAGCTGCTTTATCCATTCATCCATAGATGGACACTTAGGTTGTTTCCATATCTTGGCTATTGCAAATAATGGTGCACTGAACATGGGGTGCATGTATCTTTTTGAATTAGTGTTCTTATTTTCTTCAGATAAATACCCAGAAATGGGTATCTAAGAGAGCCATAAAATTTTGAGTTCTTCCCATCCACAGAGTGAACTGGTATACCCAGGTATGTTTGGTCCTCAGTTCCCATTGAAGACTTGGCAAACTTGATCCCACTGCTAGTCATCTTTCTCTTTAAAGCATCTGAGGTTGGGGCATAGGGAGGGGTTGGGAGAGAGCACCTGTGCACCAGTAAACAAGGTGCATTTTATTTTGAGCGGTACTGTAGCTGCAAGCTGATCAACCAATTAAACCTGTGTTGCTTTTGGTTCATCCAAAGCCCTATGTTCTGTAGCACTGACACCATCATTTCTGCTTGGGAACACCTTGATTCAGCAGCCACAGCCACATTGCTTTCTGGCACTGGCCATGGGTTTGTACCCTTTGGCTGACTTGGGCTTGATCTGCACAGCGGCATCATTTTTAGGAGTCCACCTAATTTGGGCTATTTGGTGTTCCATTGTCAAGATAATATCTCTTGAAGTCTTGCTGGATTTCGACATAAGGATTAGTGATGATTTCTAAGGCTGGTAGGGCTGGCAGCAAGAATTCATCTAGATTTCTTTGGGTGAGTTTCTCATTCTCCAGTGAATCACCATCATCATTTTCAATTGTATAGTAAGAGCCCTAAGACTAGTCAGTACCCGAGGGAGTTTTCTCAGGAAAGTTCTCCCTAGGGAGCCAAAGCTCTCTTAGAGCAGACTTGACTTGTTGCCAGAAAATGCTGAGGCCTTTTACTCACTCAGTGGATTGAATGTTGACAAAATAGACTGAGGGAGGGGCTGAGCAATAAGATAGCCATCTATTACCATTCTTCTTTAACAAACATTATGTGCCCCGCCTCAAAGTTCTCCTTGCAAACTAGCCTAAGTTCTAAAAGATTCTCTTGGTTCTCATCACAGTTTCAGTTTTCCTCCTGACACATTGCTTTGTAGGGGACAGAATCTTACTTGCTCCCTCCTCCATCCACCAGACAAATCTTAGTAGTAGCTGTTCAGACGGCACACCTGCTGAGGCTGATTGTCTGCTTGTTGGAGAGTTGACAGTATGCAGAGTCATTCAGGCTGCTGTCTTTGAGCATGCTACTTCCTGGTGCTCAGCCTAAACGACCTCCTCATTTCAGTCTCATTAACAGCTAATAAAGTTTTGGACCATTCATTGCCTGGTTGACCGTACAATTTAGTCAACATGTTAACCCACAATTCCCATCATCTCCTCTCAGTTCCTGTTAACTGGCTTCTCATTCCACTTCTAGAACGCTTTGTCTTTGTCAGCATTCCATCCTCATTGCCAAAACTGTCAAAAATTGCAAAGGGTTTGAGATTTCACCCTTCACGCAAGCTAACCAGTTAGTGTGCCGCAATATCATGGGTCCTGTTAGAAGACATGAGACAGACGAAGGATGTCATTACTCATGGCAGTAGCAGTAGCAAGAGCGTCAGCATTTGTGCCAGATAACTAGCCCCAGTTTCCATAGGATTCTTCCAAGAGAGCCAAGTGATGATGCCTGCACACAGAATGGGGTGCATAAAAGAAAAGAATTATCAGCTTAAGGGAACAGATCTTTTATAATGGGCAATAAGCCAACCTTTGCCCTGGAGGGTGACATTATCTTTATTATACTGGACAATACATAAACCTGTATTTCCCTTTCCAAGGAGACACTATATCTTCTAAGGCTGTTTACTGTATAAATATCCAGAACAAAAGGAGTCATTATCTTTTTTTGCAAGATTGCAAAAGTGCTAGAGACCCAAGGAAAGTTTTCTCCTTTACCTTGCTTTGGAGCTGGGAGAACATTTTTGATTACAGGTTCCTTCCCAATTTTTAAAATTCTGGTGAAATAGAATCTTAAGCAAGCGTTAATGTTAAACTTGTTTTCTTTCTGACAGTTTCTTTTTGCCCCACCCCTTGCTGCTTCAGTTCAGTTTACATCCTTCCTTTTTCTCACCTAGACTACCAGAAGTCCCTCCTAACTGGTCTCACTGCTAATAGTCTTGTTTTGTCTGGCCTCATCTCCTCTTCCAGAGGGATCTTTTAGAACTGAGATCTGATGATGTCTCTCAATTTAAATTTGTTATTGGTTTCCCCTTACTCTTAGGCCAAAGTTTAAATTGTTGAGCAGTTGCATAATTATTGCTCGTGTGCTGTTATCCAGTTTTTAAATGTTGACAACTAAATAAAAAAAAAAAATTTTAAAGCCATAAAGGCCAGTACTAGGTAGGCTGTATGCTGCCAATCTGTAACCTCTGCTTCTTATCATTTTTCTCTGCATGAAGTGTAAGCAAGCCACTGAGAGCAGGACTTCCCTTCCTTTTCACAAACGCCAAGGCTTTAGGAAAGAAAATGGCTTTCCTGAGAATTATTTTAGAATCAAATTCGTTAAATTAGTTTGTACTTGTAATTACCTTTAAGATATTTCCTGTTTTGAGCTTTAAGAATAATTACTTAATTTTGAAGGGAAAGACATAGTATTCACTAGACAATAGACATCTGTTACAGTCTTATGGTGCAACCTATATATCATCCAATATATATGAACATTATATATATTATTTACTGTGCCTGATAATATTTTCTTGCTTTGTTTAAACTTAAAATATAGACTGTGGACATCCATAAAGAGAAAGTGGCCCGAAGGGAGATTGGTATTTTGACAACAAATAAGAATACATCAAGAACTCACAAAATAATAGCACCTGCAAATATGGAGCGTCCTGTAAGGTATATTCGGAAACCTATTGACTATACAGTTCTGGATGATGTGGGCCATGGTGTCAAGGTAAGCATTTCTGTATTATTAACTTGAAATAATTTATTCAATAAATACTTTGGAGAGGAAAATGGTCATAAAGATAATTTTCTTGAATTAATAGATGTTTTTAGCTATTAACCAGCATTACAATTTTCATAAAATATTTAATATTAGTTATGTTTTATGCTAACCTCGGACAGAATTTTACCTGTGGAATGGACTGTATTCAGGAAGATATTAAGACTTGAAAGAGCTGTTTATTAATTAAGTCATTTGAATCCAGTACTAATATTATAAATTTGTGTTGTGAATACCATGTCTTGCTTTCACTACCAAATGGATATTTACAAATAAAAAATTTATATTCTTTCCAGAATTGGCTTAGAAAATAATCTGTAAAACTTTATTCCTAAATATATGTATACATTAGTGCATTTATGTGGATATAGATGTAATTTCAGAACATAGGAAAAATAAAAAATTTTATGTGATTTTGTTTTGTTCACCATCTCTGACTCTCCCACTCCTCACCCTAACAGGCTTTTAGGAAAGAAATTATTTGTTGCCCATGTCCATTTCATAGCATGGTAGAATTAGCGCACTTGAAGGATACCTTTAGCCTGTCAATTCTTTAGGTATTCATGGGTCATTTTGCAGGCACCTGGAGTGACTTGAATTCTTTAACCATCTTTGCTCAGGGTGAACTATTCCTTTGAAATTTGATAGTCCCTTTCTTAGAGGACCATTATTTGATTTTGTTCTTGATTTTTAGAATACTTGTAATAAATTTTTAGGAATCACCTAGAATGTTGAAGTTTTTCCTAGACGGTTGATCAGACTGGGGCTATTGCTGGATCTGTTGCATTCTGAATTATCTGGGGTTCCTGATCAAGAGAGGAGTATAGCTGACAACATTGGTCTGTATTCTGCCCTTCTTCTAGACTGTTAGAATTTCCCCTTTGCTGTCATGCTTGGAAGTTATATGTAATGTTGAGACACTTTGCAGATGTAGAGGAGGCTGCTCGTTTGTTTCTTGTATTTGTACCCAAAGATGAGACTAGGGTCGTATAAGAGCTTAAATTCAATTCTAATATAAGATATTTTAGACTAGATTGAGATGGGATTTGGATTTTGAGAGTCTGGAAGAACTTCTTTTGTATTACATGCCTTTCAATTAAAAATACCTACTCATTCACTTCCTTTTTTACCTCATCTTGATTTTTCTTCCCATTAAAGCAGTACATACTCATAAAAAAATTCTGTTACCACCTTAGAAGTGAATATCCTATGTTATCCCTCCACTAAATTGTGTTTAATACATAATACTTAGAAGGGTTTAAGATGAAACCACATTTTACAAGGACATTTCAGTGAGAATATTTAACTGTTTCATCATATATATGTAAATGGGAAGTATAAACACATGATATATATATATACTGAAAATATACAGATGTGAATTTTGGCAATCTACTTTTGTAATATGGATATTTTAGACACAGGGTTTTTGGGGAAAAAAACTAAAAATTGAGGCAAAATATACATAACAAAAAATTTGCTATTTAAGCATTTTAAGTTACAGTTCTGTGACATTAAGTACTTTCTCATTGTTACACAGAGTATTTTAAAATATATTTTTGACTGGGGGTAGGAGGATGGGTATTCTGTGAGAACATTATATCTTAGAAGCTGTATGTGGCATATTTGTCCATATTTTGTTTCTGAGTTATAAAAAAAACACAATTATTTTTACCCTACTAGTCTCATTGCTGCTTTATTTCTCCAGTTTTTCAATTTTTTTAAAAAGATTATTGCTGGCTTAATTAAAAATTTCTAGTATACCATATCTTCAAGGATAATAATGTTATTAAAGTTTAATTTCTAAATCCTGGTGATAAAGTTAGTAGCTAGGTAGAATTCCAGACATTGTTTCCAGGTAAAAATGAGCAATATCATTCTAAACAAATATTAAAGAATACCAAAATTCTGGCAGTTTCTAGAAATTATAATGTATCTAGGACAAAGTGCATTCCTCCACTGAATGCTTTTCCTTAATGTTGCCTTTATGATCACCTGAAAAACGATGACTACATATTTAGAACAGAATGTTATGGAAAGAATTTGAAACCTCAGAATTTATAAAAAGATTGATTCTACAACCTGACGATACTTCTTCTAAAGTGGCATAGTACAGCTAATGATGCTTTAGGACTGTATACATTATTTCATATTCTTTCGTACATGTGTTCATATTTTTATATGTACATATTATTTTATATATAGACTAGTCATGTTTCATAGAAGTAGCCTTTAAGATCAGAGCAGCTTTTCTTTAGTTTTGAATTTTGGCTGAACTAGTTCAGAAGAAAACTTAGAACTAAACCTATAACTTCCTGCTAGTGTTAGCCTGGTCAGGTTTGGATTCATAAATTACGAATGAGAGTTTCCAGACCCTGTTTGTTTATTCCTTAGTTAGAATCTGGCTAAGCCATTACTGTGAGAGTGATTTTGTTTTTAAACATTGAGGTGTTAGGTCTTTTTCCAAATTGAAAAACAACCTGTTGTTTTGAATTCCAACACTTGCATTTTATCACTTTTTGAAAATACTAAACTGTTCAAATAATGAATACTTGTACTTGGGCATTTATAATCCAGTAAAGTCTTAAGTCTTGTACAATGATGTATTAAAGTAGCCTTACATTTCATATGTTAAATTAAAGTTTGCTTGTTTATCATTATGATCAGTTGGATAAAATACTAATCTAACATTATTGGAACTGCATGAGATTGGCATGATTAAGTGGTGGTTTCTTTTGTGGAATAGTCTTTTAAAAATATGTGAATACACATAAATATTTCTCTACTGTTTATGGATACATTTTTCTTTACAAGATATTGAAAATAATGGCTGGGTAAAGTCAATAAACATGAATGGAATAACTGTAAATGTAAACCTGTCCTATCAGATATAACTTATTTAGAATTAATTTCTACTTTTTCCCCCCTTTTTTTTTGCCAACGTAAAGTGGCTAAAAGCCAAGGTAAGAGATATTACTTATCATTTGATCCACAGTATTACCTCTATATTGATAGAGGCCGCAGAGCCACTAAAATTTGAAAACTCTTCCTATGTCTGTCTGCTTTTTCCCCATAGGATATATGTAGATTAAATATACTCAAACTCAGTTCAAATCAGCAACATTTAGCTTGGATGTGTTAATATATCAAAGATATATTGACATCTGCATTTATATAGGAACATTAATTTTGCTAACATTTATTGCTTTGCTCATTTTTTGATAGTTGCCTTGCTTTTATTGACTTACAATTAGGAGGTTTCCCAGACATCATATATGACTTTGTTACTGAATTGTTAGGATAAAAATCAGTTTTCAGATAACTGTTTTAACAAATTGACATTGAGATCTGCAGTTTATATTACATTCATGTAAACATTTCAGAAATTTTGGGAAACCCAGTATTTGAATGCAAATGTTTGATCTCAGTTAACATGTTTAACAATAAAATGATATAGAAAATCTAATAATTTCACCTGTATTTTGCCATAAATTGGTATGAATAGCACAAAATAATAAGAAAAGTCAAGTGTAAGTGGTTTCTTGACCTTTTAAAATATAGTACCAAAGTCTATTGTTAAAACTGTCTGGGAATCCTTACTTCACATTCTGGTGTTAAAAAAAAAAATACATGGTATCAAAACACTAAGAGAACAATTTGATATAAAAATAAAAGCTCTTTTTTTCTACATTTTAGCATGGAAGTAACCAGCCTGCAAGAACTGGCACACTGTCGAGAACAAATCCTCCCACTCAGAAACCACCAAGTCCTCCTATGTCAGGCCGGGGAACATTGGGGTAAGAATTCAACTATATTTTACAAGAAAATTCATATTTTTAAGGAAAAGATGTTTATGTGACTTAAATGTATAAATCTTTGCTGTGGGACCTTCTGAATGTGACACTACCTTTTACAAGCTCATTCTGGTTCTTATTTCCTTGAACAGAATCCAAAATGGATCTGCCTGTTTTATAATATTCTCTATATTATAATATTCTCTATATTTTGTACATGTGTAAATGAGCATTAATTTATTTTTTATCTTTTAATTCTCTTTTTTAAAAACCCCCACAAATTTGACAAGTTCATTTCAAATGAAATGACCAGAGGATTCCATATGGTGCTTTTCACATGTATTTACAGTATTTATATTACAGTACTCTGAATAAGTGGTCTATTTTGTGTAGTTTGGCTCGATAACCTGCAGCTCTTGTTTCCTCTACTGCTTTCCACCTGGAACTTAGGGGCTCTTTACCTGAAGTACTTCTAACTGTGCTTCTGCTGGTAATCTTGGGGCTCTTCATATTTGAATAGCTTTGTGGGAAAGCCAGTTTGAGAAGTAGAAAAGATAACAGTTGGTGGCTTCTTTCTTCGCAATTCTCAATGCAATAAAAATATTGAATAATTGGTGAGACATTCTGAAAGATTGTTCACCTTAGCATTGGAAATAGTATATTAGAGTTTTTAGTGGAGGACTAGGAAATCATTGTTTTATAGTAATAGGAAGCAACAATCAACTTTACTGAATCTTGGTTTTTACTTTCATTCTGTAAATTCCTTGCCCTTGGAAAAAAAAACATAAAATTATTCAATATAAAAGTTAAAATCATTTATTGAAAAAGTAATGGCATTATGCCTAGGATCAGAATGTACTTGTCCAATCTTTCCACATTGAGGTAGGAATAAATTGCAGAGGAGATATTTAGCTTCCATAATGTACAAGGACAATGGCTGTGGGTAACTGAACTGGAAATAATGCCTATTTCTAAGGTTCGGTATTATTGGGCATTTAAAAAATTGTAACCAGTATTTTTTAAAATAAGGTTAGAACTTTTAAATTACCCTTTCTTTTGGTTTTCCTAAGAAAAGGTAACATTTTAGTTTTTGCATAAAGTAACAAAAGTTATATACTACAATTAAGAATTTTTTAAATACATTTTGTTAAATGTTTTTTAAAAACTCGTTATACTTTGTTACAAAGGGGCAATCACAGATTGGGCAGAAGATACCATTTTATCATTCATGTTCATTGTTCCTTTCTCTAATGCTTCTTTAGACGGAATACTCCTTACAAAACCCTGGAACCTGTAAAACCTCCAACAGTTCCTAATGACTATATGACAAGTCCTGCTAGGCTTGGAAGTCAGCATAGCCCAGGCAGGACAGCGTCTTTAAATCAGAGACCAAGGACACACAGGTAATCAGTCCTTTAGGTTGAGACTTTGGACATCTGAATATAAGGGTTATTGACTGGTCACAAATTCTATAAAGTTGTTAAGTAAAGTACTGTTCTAATGCTAATACCGAACATTGAGGGTAATAATATTGTTTATGCTCCTGAAAATTTCTGTCATAACTTCTTATTTTTAGATTTTTAAATATATGTTTATTCTATTAGTAGATTGCTGCTATATCTTCCTTTTGACAGACGTACAGATGGATATCTGGATTGAGGCCAAAGAGTATTTTTTAGAATAGTCTTTTAAAAAAGATCAAGGCAGCCACTCTTACTGTTTTAGATAAGAGGTTAAATATCAGAAATTATACAGCATGATTTAAACTTTTTGAGAGGTTGGAGGAAAGAAGACTTAGCTTAGACCTGAGCAAGAATTTATTGAGAGTTGATATACTCCAGATTATGTTATAGTATAAATTGTTTAATAAAAAAGTACAACAAATCAACTACCCAGTGGATTTTTAAAAACTTGGTTTTGGAGCATAACCTGCATTTAGGAAAGTGTACACTTTATTAAGTATACAACTTAATGGATTAATACAATTTGAACATACTCATGTAATCATCACCCAGATCTGAAAATGAGACCTTACTAGCAAACCAGAAGTCCCCCTCAGGCCCCTACCCAATTATTGCCTCTACCTTCTTTCCCCCAAAAGTGGCCATTCCATTTTGGGGCACTTTTTTAAAGCTAGACATATTTATTGTACAGCTTAATTTGTTTTATTCTTTAATTTTACCTCTCACCTCATAACTTGAGCAAGAACTTCTGTTTACCTTGACCTTTAGGTTGGTGTATTAGAGATATAACTTAGTAAAACCATTTTTGGGGTTTCAACTAAATAGGGTATCAGGCTCTTAGATACTATGTAATTGGCATTTGTTGTTTTTGCTACTCTTAGTAAATACATTCTTATATTGATATCTGCAGTTGAGTGAGGTCATGTTTGTTACTGAATTATTTTATCAAAGCTTGGTTTTTCTCTGTAGTTTATATACAACAACTAGTTATTAAGAGTTACTTCGTTAGGTATTAGGGACATACCAATAAATTGACAGTTTTTTTTTCCAGAAGCTCATTCTGTTAAAACAGAGATCAACAAACTTTTTTATAAAGGGCCAGATTGTCAATATTTTAGGATTTGTGGGCCATATGGTCTCTGTTGTAGTTACTCAGCTCCCCACTGTAGCACGAAAGCAGCTATGGACAATACGTAAATTATCGAGCGAGGCTGTGTTCCAATAACATTTTATATATAGTACTGCAATTTGACTTTCATATAATTTTAGTGTGTCATAAATTATTCTACTTTTGATTTTTTCCAACTATTTAAAAATATAAAAAATGTTCTTAGCTCACAGGTCGTAAGAAATTGGATCATGAGTCAGATTTGGCTCATGAGCTGTAATTTGCCAAAATAAAAAAAAAAGCACATAAGCCAGTAATTGTAGAAGAGGATAATAAATGCAAAAACATTCATTACATCTATGATGCATTGCTGTTTCAAAGCAGATTATTGATCACCTGGCTTGAAGAAGTTAAGGGAGGCCTTCACATTAAAGCTGTTTTTGTTATATAAACATCTTTCTTTTATTTCCTTTTTCTTTCATTAACAAGTGATAATGTAATTGTAGAATTATCACATTGGAGAAGAAAAGTAAAAATTTTATCTAGGCAGTGCAAGTCTTTGCCCTGTTAAGTTTCTGGGCCTGTTGAACCAATGATGTTGTTTTTAAAACAAAGTGTGGAGTCTGAGTCTACACATGCACATATGTACATTTACAGACGTGTTTGTGCATACACAGATTACTAAAAACAAGTATATAGGATGAGGTCTTATACCTAAAGGGGCACTAAGTCCATAGGAATTAGAATCAGAGGGAACTTTTAGAGTTTGACAGTAACAACTTTTCTAGAATGCCTCCCACTACTTCACTACTGTCTTTTTTTGTTGTTTCACTCATTTTCCTGAAAATTTCCTGTTTTATCACCATTCCTTGAGATGCGTGGAGGTTTTCCGACTAATTCCAGGCTAAAACTGGTTAACCTTTTATTAATTTCTATAACATCTTGTGCATTTTCTCTTGTGACATGCTTCACACTGTTTTTTAATGTCTCCTTTCCCATTCTCAGCTCTGAGCTCCATGACATCATGGTTATTGTCTGCTTTTATATCACTGCTGTTCATAGTAGATTTTAAATAAACCCTTGTTGACTCATTGCACTATAAGACTTTATTGGTCACCCATTTCTCAGTAGGATGATCTCTTCTGATAGTTCTGAGTACTGTTATGATTCATTCGATTTTCAAAAGATTGAGAAATGAAGTGGTTCTTGTGTTTCACTCTAAGTATTAGAGTTAAAATTGATATTGAACAATTTTTAAAATTTATATATACACATATATATCATAAAGGGCAGTAGTTAATGGCTTTGAGTTGATTGTGGGAATTGTTTTGGATAAATCTTTAGAATTGCTTTTTCACAATTTTTTCTTCTCTTTGCAGTGGAAGTAGCGGGGGGAGTGGAAGTCGAGAAAACAGTGGAAGCAGCAGTATTGGCATTCCCATTGCCGTGCCTACACCTTCACCACCCACTATTGGACCAGGTATGTTATTTATTAATCTATTTTAATATATAGTAGTATTTATGCTTTTTACACAAGTCTGAAATAATTTAGTTTTATTAGATAAAATTATTTGCTAAATTTATGTGATTGTTGCTAGACTATAAATGTTAACAAATTAGAAAACATTTTTTAGGTTAGTTTTTACACAGTCTTTAGGGTTTTACCAGCCATTTCTCCTCACATATAAAACATATTAAATAACTTTATTAAATAACTTTTTGGTCATATTGTTTTAGAATTACTTTCCAAGGGGACTAGTCAAGAATGATATTATTTCGAGAGCAAACCAATATTGTTCATACTCCAACCAAAGGATCAGTGTCTATAATGTGAATTATATATCAGTGTGTTTTGGCATTGCCTCGTAGGCTGGTGTTTCAACTCTGATGTTAGTTTCTTCTGCGACTTCATTATATTTATATATGATATTCAATATATATTTCAGTAAAATACCATGAATGTAAAATGGGATTGTAAAAGGAAAAGTTCTTTTACTTTTTAGATTATATAAAAATTTAAAAAATCATTGCAGAGCATTAAATTAGTCCTTTGATTTCTAGTAAATGAAATGAAGACTTTGTAGTGTTAAAAATATACATTTTAAAAGTAAATATGATAATCAGTACTGTTAGGGAAAAATTATTAGCTTCAAGGATGTTGAAAAAGGAGAAAAGCTACTTATAAAAACAGGCATATTTTATAGTTAATGCAGGTATGAACTCAATGGCCTCTTTACCTAGTAAAATTCTTATTCATTTGAACATGCTTTACATATGGGTGTGTCTCTCTCTCTTTTTTTTTCTTCTTTCCAAAACATTGTACTTTCTTACTGTTTCAGAATGTTTAGTTCTCTTTCTTGCACTCTGACCTGAATTATAAACTATTTTATTAGAAAACATTTCTGTCCCTCCTCCTTCTGGAGCTCCACCAGCACCACCTCTTCCACCACTTCTCCCAGTGAGCACTGTGATAGGTGAGACTGCATAACCATTGGAGTGATTTACCTTACTTTGCGTAATTCATAATAAACTCCTCTGTTAGACTGCTAGCTTTTATAGTTACTAGGTTGTAAGGGGTAATACAAAGGTTAAAGTGTTAAATCTAATTTACACTAATTTCTTCTGGTGAAAGGCCTCTGAAGTTACACAGAAAACAAATATAGAATAACTTCCTCTGTAATATGAAATATTTCTGTGCATTGTTTATAACCATTTTAATGTGGTTTATATTATTTAGATTTGTCTAGGAAAAGTATAGCAGTGATTGTTCAAAAATTTTTTTAAATTAGTAATGTAATATGTTTTAAAAAGTTCTCCTTGATTTGGAACTCCCTGGTATATACAACAGTCAGAGTATTGGAGTGAAGGCAGGGGCAGAAGGAAGAAAAATGGAAAGGAAAATGATGTGCGGTTTGGGGTGCTTTGAGGCTTTCCTATGGATCACAGTTTGAAAAACTCTGATATAGCCCAGTACTTAGTGCATCTGAAGAGCCCATGAAACATTTTTTTCAGTAAAATAACTTTAAATTGTTCCCAAGTTGAGAGTGACTGGATTGAGCATATAGGGAATTCCAAATATAGACTCAATATAAAACCGTTCAGCCTAGAAATACACAATAGCAATAATCTGGGTAGAAATGGATAATGAGATGTTTCAAATAATGAGAGCTGAGTTTCATTATTGTGAAATACAGCCTTCCAGCAACATCTTTTCAAACTTTTGTACTTGTACTCAAAGGAGAAGGAGCAAAAGAAGATAACAAAAGACCCTAATAATAGAAATTGTTGGCAGACAATCCATGTCAAAAAAAATTTTTCCTCAACCCAATTGATCATCAGAAAAATGAAAATTAAAACCACAGTGAGATACTAATTTTTATCCACCAAATGGGTAAAAATGAAGTCTGCTAGTATCAAATGTTGATAAGGAAGGGCAGTGTCAGGGAAGTACATTGCTGGTCAGAGTTTATTAGTTGATACACTCACTTTGGAAAGTAATTTATTAACTAGCCAAGTTAAATGAGTTTCTACCTTAGATTTATCAATTTCATTTTTAAATATTTACCTTAGAGTACTGGTTCCCAAATATGTTATGGGATTCCTGAGGGTTGCGAAGATTCTTTCATGCAGTTTCTGAGATCAGAACTATATTCATAATAAGATTTATTTGCCTTTTTCATTCTCATTCTGGTACTGTGGAATTTTCAGAGGCTATATGACATATGATAAAATCATTGCTTTGATAGCTAATGGAATTTGTATTTGTGGATTCATGTGTTTTAAAGATATATCACTTTTGATTTCTAATATGGTAATTAACTGTTGCTATAATCCACCTCAACAAAAGCTTTTGAGCTTCTCTAATTTTAAGGAGTGATCCCTGAGATCATAAAATTTAAAAACCACTTCTTAGAGCAGTGGCTCTTAGAGTGTGACAGTGACACTCCCCCTCCCCCGACCAACAGCATCTTCATGGTGGGGGAACTAGTTAGAAATGTGAACTCCTAGGTTCCACTCTAGATTTACTCAGAAACTCTGAGGACTGGAGCCCAGCAATCTGTATTGTAACAAGCCCTCAAGGTGAAATTCTGATCAGCGCTGAAGTTTGAGAACCACTGTTGTAGAGGAACTCAGGAACCTTATTTAGGAATGTTTGTAGTAGTAGTGTTAGTAATAGCAAAACTGGATGCAACCGAAACGTCTAATAATAGAATGGATAAATTGTGGTATGTTTTCATGTAAAGCAATAAAAATGGATGATATATTGATACACTTAACAACATGGATGAATCTTGAAAAATAAAGTCGTAAGGAAAAGAGCAAGCCAACAATGTATAATCATCTTATTATAAAAATATAAATTTGCAAAATCTTTATATGTATTATTTAAGATTACCTATGGTTTTTTTTAAAAGCTGTATATGGTAAAAAAAAAAAAAAAAAAGATGAAAAAAAGTGAATGTTTAACACATACCTTTTGGGTTTGTGATCCAGAAGAGGACATATAGGAAGCTTCAGTGATACTGGTAATATTCTATTTCTTGGAGCAGGGTATATATCTTATTTTATTTTTTAAAAATTATGTGTACTTATATATTTTTGTAAATAAGTTATATGATCATTACATATAATTATATAATACATATTACCATATAGGCATATGCATATATATAATTATATGTATAACATATAGTTATATGTATCAATATACCTTTTGGTATTATGGTTTATTTCATAATAAAATTAAATTCTAAAATAGGCATAGTTCGGAAATGCTGAATAGTTGGTTTTGGGTTTTAAATCACCAAGAAAAATAACTTGGATTACATATACTTTTTATATAGGTCAGAGAAATATAAAAGTAATTTTACAGAGATTTCTATTAAAAATGGTTATAGAGTTACTTTTTAGTTTCCTAGAAAACCTAGCTGTCCAAAATTACTCACGAAAGCTTTTGAATAGACTTATTTTTAAAATATTTTTCTATTTAGAAAATGAATATGTGGATGATTTAAATAATTAGTGACTGCCTATGGCTTGGGAGCTCCAAAGTGTTAAATATGAGCACTTCTTTTAACGAACAACCTCTGCTGTACGATTTTATCTAATAACTCTTATGACCTCTAGGGGAGGTTAAATTAGACAACTTGAATGAAAAGAAACGTAAGATGCTGCCTTTTTACATATTCATTGCTAGGTGTTTGGGTTGGGTACAGAGGTTAATCTTAATTCCAGAGTTACCTTTGGAAAATATAGTTAACTTTAGAGGCTTTGAACTTTATTAACCTTTTAAGTATAAAACTTTTGAAATCTTAGTAAGGATGACATTGAATACAATTTTAAGTATTAATACTTTAGTCAGTTTAGATATGCATGATAATTAAAAAAGAAGATTGTTTTGGGTGTAATATGGAAAAAAAAAGCCTTCCAAATATGAAGAAAGAGAATGGATTTCCTACACAAAGCTACCTTAAAATGTCCATATTTTACAGTCTGAATTTTTTTTTAGTTTTGTCAGTTACCAAAAAAAAAATTAAGTGATAGGGAAAAGTATGTTATACTTAAAGTTTGGAGATACACAAGAAATCTGACATTATTTAACAGCTTTAAATCTAGAAGTTGTACTTCTCTTAAAAAATGATTCAACTATAATGTGTTGATACTGCTAATACAATAAACATTCAAATAAATATTGTACTATATGTGGAAAATATGCTTAACTATTAAAATTTTATAGTATAACTTGGATCTGACTGGATGGATTCTTATACTGTGCTTCAGAAGATTTGGTAATGGAAAGGAAGAAGTTTGTATAGTAGATATTAATTAATACATTCACATTTAAAAACTGATGTTTTCCACCAGACTATCTTTTGGTACCTATTTTGTTGCAGAGACACAGTTTATATATAAAGTTATGTGTTCTAAAATGATACAGAAAAAAAGGTTTACATAATATTAGCAAAATACAGTTTAGAATTATGCTAAATTAAAAGGCTTAAGAATGTTACTTATTGACTTTTGCAGCTTTCCACGCTGTATCTGTTTTTCCTTGGTTGTAACTTCAGAGATAGAGCTATTTGTATTTTACTTTTACTTTTCTCTTTATTTTGTGCTGTGGGCTTTAAAGTAATAAATATTTCTTACTGGGAGCCCCTCGCTTGTTCTGCTATTGGAGGTGATAATACAGTGCTCAAGTTCTTTGTTGGTTGCCTTTGACTAATGCTTTTCAGCGGCCCCAGGCTCAGCTCCTGGTTCCCAGTATGGCACAATGACCAGGCAGATTTCTCGACACAACTCTACCACTTCCTCGACATCTTCTGGTGGATACAGACGAACTCCCTCTGTGACTGCGCAATTTTCTGCTCAGCCTCATGTTAATGGAGGTCCACTTTATTCTCAGAATTCAAGTAAGCTTGTGCTTTGCAGGCAAACAGCATCAGTGGAGCTCTTTTTGAAAGAAATTATTTGAAACCGTTATTCTTGCTAGTGATAGACAACAATTGAACCTGTGCTATTTCATGTTTATTTTTGCTGTAGGAAGTTAGTTCTTGAATCATACCATTTAAAAAATAATTGCTTATCACTTTCTCTCAAAAAAAATCGGTCTTAGTATACTTGTATACTAAAATTTAACCTTAATATATTTTTATTACTATAAATAAAACTAGAAAAGAAAGACACTGAAATTAAGCTGAATTTATTCTTATCGACACATTTGAGACTATTCAGTAACAGTAAAATTTAATATACTGTGGACGTTGTTTTTCTTCAAAATAATATAATGAAATTGCTGGCTATCACTTTTAAGCTTGTTAACCTATACTGAAATGAGTTCAAAACCATTAAAAAACATTTGCGATGTCTGCTTATTCTGTCTCTGAATAATTATAACAGTGGGGAGGATTTTCTTTTTGATTTTTTCTGTTCACCTCAAATTGCACATCTCAACACTAACTGCAATCAATGCTTAAAAGCTAATAAGATTAGAAAATAGTTTGGGCATGTAATGTTAGGAAGATCAAATTGCTTATGGTAGTCATTAATTTCACTCTCATATTAAGATGCTTAATCCAAAAAGGAAAAACAGATAAAGAAATCTGAAATGAGACTATTATTCAGTTATTTGTTACTGGCTTGAAGAGGTGATCACTAGGCCTAGACTGACACACACTTTCCCCACATAGCTTTTGTAGCTACTTTCTAGAGCTGTAAGTTTTATTAATTTACTTAAAAAAAAAACACCGACTTCTCCATGTTTACATAGGAAGTTGATTTAAGTTCTTTTTATTTATAATCCATATTCTGAGCATAAATTTTAAAGCAGAACTGGGGGAAAGTTACCTTATTTGTTGTTAGTTTAAATTTTAGAGTTAAAGCTTAATTGTGTTATAGCAAAAAACTCATGAGAATTCAAAACCACTTTAGCAGAAATGTCAGGAGTCTCAAATTTATACAACCTTTTTCTAGACTAAAATTTTCATACAAACTACTAAGAAACTACCAATTAGAATTTTACCTCACATTTTTCCTTGTCTCCTTTGGTGTAGTGGAGAGTAGCTAGGGTCTGAATATTCCACAGATTATCTTATTATTAACCTCACTATTATGACCTGTTTTTTTCATGTTACCTTGCATTTTTAGATCCCATCTTTATGTTTATTATTTTTTCCCTCATTTAGGCATTTAATTTATTACGCAAATAGAGTTTTTGGGTGACTTCCCACCTAACCCTGTTTCTGTAGTTTTATTTTAACAGTATTTAAGTGGGTTGCTTATTCTCAGACAAGACATTTTTATTACTGAATGTCTATCTTTTGGATATTATAAAGCAAATTTAGCCTCAGATTTTAAATATATTACTATGTGTTGTCAAATTAATTATCCTTCAATCTGAGTTACTGTTGGTGTTGTAGTAGTAGATATAAATGTTTTTAGTGTTTTGATGTGCATATTTCTTCCTCTGTCTAAATGTGGTGGTAATGATTAGTATCTGTGCAGTGTAGCTTTTCTTTTTCTTTAAGTACTAACCAGTATGGCCAGTTACTAAGGGTTTTTCTTGAACGGTATTTTTTTAGATTTTGGAAGGTTTTTTTTTAAGTCAAAAACTGTAACATTTTATTCATTTAAGAACCTTCTATATACAGAATATCAGAATGAACTAGGACCAGATTCATAGTGAATGGAATGCTGTTTTTAGCCATACAGTGAATATTATGACACATATATTGCTTTAAGTTATTGCTGCTTTGAACACTGAACCTCTTTCAAATTTTTATGCTTACCAACAAAATTTGTAAATTGAACTAATTGAAACTACCTTTCAATTAAATGATTCTTGGGAACCAGTAAATTGTTTTTCTCTTGTAAATTTAGTGTAACTTTTTGGTGACTACCAGTAAACAGGTTGACTTTTTTGAGCAATCTTTGGCAATTACTATCTTGGTAAAATGAGACAAAGTAGTAAACGTATGTATGTTTCCTTCTAGTTTGCTACAATTTTTAATACATTTGCTGCCCACTTGAGCATTTGGTATTATTTTTTATAAATCATGTCCTCTCCAGAAAGAAGTTGGAATATGTTTCCAGCTACCCAGTGACTTGTTAGGAATTACTTCAATGCAAAGAATTCCATATTTTAACTGTTTGTTAGATCGGATTTCCTTTTTTAGACCAGTGATAAAAGAAATATCACTTTTGAGATAATTTTATCCCATAAAACTCAGTGAACAGTTAATGTGGTATATGGAGTACTCTTACTCCCTAGTAAATTTAGGAGTGATGTCTTTAAAATTGTCAACTTAAAAAGTAATAATAGCCTTGTTTTACAAACAAGGGTTTTTCCTGGAGAGCTGTATGTAAATTTAGATATATAATAAGAACTGTCTTTAAAGGAAACCTGTGATGAATGTAGTTATCTACATATGGGATAAATAGCTATCCTATAACATTTATTTATTTGGGTTCTGAGGTATAACATTACCTGATATCTAGACAAACCTGTTAGGTTATAGAAATATGGCAAAGACGCAATATCCTGGAAATCTCTATCAGTATTTCACTGTTAACTATTTTTTTAATCTTTTCTGAGAATTTGAAAATTACATTGCATGAAAGTGAATGTGATGGTAAATTTAAATCTTCCCCAAACAATATATAACATTAAGATTAAATTAAATGTGCTTTTTAAAAATAAAATTAACCAGTTGACTAAGCACAACTGAGCTTTAGGTTTACTAGTGGGTAATGAACTTGAAGAAGGTTCTGCAGGTTTTTGTTTTGTTTTGTTTTCGTTTTGTTTTGTTTCATTTGCAAACTGTTCTTTGCATACTTATGTTTGTGGTCCTTGTAACTGACTTCTGCTTTTTGTTTGTTTCCTTTTCTTTCCTTTATCTGTTTTACTTCCCCCATACTGTGTCATTGCTACCAGTTTCTATTGCTCCACCCCCTCCCCCTATGCCTCAGTTGACTCCACAGATACCTCTCACAGGCTTCGTGGCCAGGGTGCAGGAAAACAGTAAGTTTGTAAAAACTGAGTTACCAAAGAGTAGAGGCTGTCTCCTTATAGCATGCATGGCTGATAAGTCATCATTTTCCTTACTTTTATTGAGACGCTAATCTTATCTTGAAAATAGGTGCAGATATGTTATTTAAACTGAAGAGCACGGTCTTCAGTTTTTTCTCTTGTGTGCATGATTACTGACCTATATAAATTTTAAAACTGCAACTTTCTTACATATTTACATGATCTAAAACATGAAATCTGATCTTTGCAGATTCTTACAGAAAACATAATCAAACATAAAAATTTAAATTGGATGGAAATTACTAGCTTCCCATAATTATTAGGGTAATTAGTTAGAAAACATTTTGTATTCTGTTGCCAGCAAATTCATCAAGATATAGATAGTTACTCTGTGAGAGTACTGTGAGAGTATATTTATGCAATTGGGACAGGTGTTTTTTTTTCCCTGTAGTTACAAAATTTTTTGGAGAAAGCTTCGCAGCCTCAGATTTTGATAAATGAATAATTTTAAACTTATATGTAGATTCTCTGTTAGAATAAGAATGAATCTGTAAGAATAAGTAAATTACATCTATAATATCTGTCCATATAAGAGTGATAATCATTGTAGAGTCCTCTTCGTGTTTTGGCTACATGCAAGCCAATGAGGATTATTTATGAATATGCAAATCTGTCAGAAATTTTTTAGGTCTTCTTTGAAGGAAGGTGAAAATTAATGAATTTTGGAAATTATTTTGAATACGTAGATATAATTAGGATAGTTTATATTGCTGCCTGATTAAGGTTCTGGACAATGTATAATCCTAGTTATACTATCATAGTGAATGCTATTTGGCAAAATGAAGAAAACCACTATCACGATTATATGCCAAAATAGCTGTTGAGGTTAAGATGGTAAAGTGGTCTAGTGGTAATTTACTTCATTTGAGACCATCACCATGCAAATAAATCTCAGAATGGTTAAATAAATGTGTAATCCGCTGCCAGCCCATCTTCCAGGAGAATACATTCTGGCAAATTCCATCATTCAGCTTTTGCAGACCTGGTGGTAGTATTCTACCCATTTCCTTCTTTCCTTCAGTCAAGTATTTGTTTATTCAGTGTTATGTGCTAGTAGTCTTTGGAACGAATACACATAGTTTAAGACAAAGTTCCTATCTTTAAGGAATGTGTGATTTAATGGACTTTTTATATAAAGCATTGTATTTTCAAAATGTTGAAATTTCTGAGTGTAAACCAACCTTGAAATTTGTTTGAAAACTCTAATGTGTTTAAACATATAAAAATAAGTGAATCTTACTTCTAAAAATAAGTGAGTAAGGTAAATTGCTGGTCCTTATTGCTACAAGAGTTAAAAACTAAGCCAGTTAGACCTTTTGAACTGCCTTACAGCCAAGAATTTTTAGGAACTATTTAAAAATTACCATCATGAATATCCATTTAGTGCGTCCAAAGCTCACTGTCTAGCTTTTTAGTAACTTTTTTTTTTCCCCCATAGAAATTCAGAATTAATGTACATTATTCTAGGCTTGCCTGGTTTTTGCTAAAGAGGGCCATGGTGCTATTGTAGTTCTTTTTACCAAACATATGAACTTGAGTCAGTCAGTCATTCTTGTGCTGCAGAATGCCCAACTTTATTTGGCATCTGTTTTCTATGAAAGCATGTTAGGAAGATTGGTGATAAACTGTGTATTAATATCTTAAATACTTTATGAAGTACAAATTTTCTGTGTTCTTTACTTTCTTAAATATCGAGTTGCACCAACTCAGAGTTGGTGATAATCCATGTAACAGTTAACCTATTAATAAGTGTGTTTCAGTTTAAGACATGAACCTCCAAAAAAATCATCATTGTTTTTATAGCTGTTTATGATTAACATCAGAAAGCATTTTGAACTAATTACACAGGATGCTAGACAAAACATTATACATAGAGAATTAGACTGACCAGATTCCTGCCCCTGTGTATATGGTTTGAAGATAAGCCAGTGTAGATTCATAGAAGTCGAACATAAAAACAGTTGAGTGAAAACATTAAATTAATAAGTTATGTATAAATCAAGAGTAAATGCAATTAGGGATTCAGGCAAACATATATAATTTATATCTTAAGCCAAATTAAGGATATGAGCTATGGCTCTTTGATATCAGGATGGATTCATATGTATTTTCTTCTCACTAGTAATAGGAAGCTTTATGTTGTACTCAAGGGTAAAAATAAAAAAGATCCATGCATTCAATGAAAAAATAAATTGTAGGCGATCACAGTTAGCATCACCACACGGGACTTGTTTTTTGATAGCCCTTTTCATCCTCCAGCAGGATAAAATAGAAATCACAGGATCGAAGTAGTTATGGAAATAGGGCTATTATCTGCGAATGTTTTAAATCTTGATCTCTCAGATATAGTCTCAGCATATTATTCCAAATAGAGTGGAGAAAACTTTTTAAAACCTGTATTATAGATAGATCATGACTACTATTTTTTGATCAGTGTCTTTATCTTTTAAAGAAATGCATGGATTCGAAATTTAAGTGTTAGTTGCATTCAGCTTTGAATTCCCTAATATGGGAGCATTTGTTACCTGGTGTCATAATAGTTCAGTGAACACAGTTTTAGCCTGACATTTTCTCTTTTCACTGTTCGCACTTTTCATTATTTAAATCACACATAGACACTTACCACAACCATTTAGAATTTGAGGTATGAGTTGTTTTTGTTGTTCTGCATGATATGTTACCTTCTGTGTTTTTTTTTTTTTTTTTAATTACTGTCCCACAATATTTTATTTTTTTAAATCTTTGTTGTGGATATATTCTTAGAAAATTGGATCTTTAGAATCTAGTCTTTCCCTCATCCCATGCTTATGTTTTACTAGCAATAATGCAAAAATCTTAGCTTGCTTTTCCACATTACAAAAGTTGATTATGAAAATAAACATTTTTGAAAATATTCAAGATTTTCTAGTTCGGAATTCTCATCTTGTTAAAATTTAAATAAAAGAATAGAAACCTTATACATAAAAGCAGAGCTAATACCACCAACTTTGCTTTTTTTCTCCATTAAAATGAACAAAAAATAAATATCTACCCACTTATTTCTGGGGAACCAAAGATATTAAAAGCTAAAATCAGGGACTTAAATCTGCACAATGAATGGTTATCAAACCATTAATGTAATTTTATTCATAACATTTACTGTAGTCCAAATGACAAAAGTGATATAGGCTTATTTAAGGAGCTGAGCAAAGAGCAACATTTATTTTGACCTGAGCCTTGGAATAAGGATACTTCTTTACTCCTATACTCATTATAAAAAAAAGAAATACTGTCTCCTAACCTCCTGCATTTATTAATTGGTAATACTTCCTAATACCCTTATTTTTAGCTCATTTTGTTATTGCAAAATTATTAAGAGTAGTGAAAGCTTTAACACACCAAGCTTTTATTTCTAATCATTGCATGTTTTATTATAGTGCATGCTGTACATGAATTAGAGCTTTCTTAAATTCTGTTAATTTATGACTTTTCATTTAGTCTAATTTCTGATTCAAATTAATTAACTGAATTTTTTTAGTTGCTGATAGTCCAACTCCACCACCACCACCTCCACCAGATGACATTCCCATGTTTGATGACTCCCCACCTCCACCACCACCACCTCCAGTGGATTATGAAGATGAGGAGGCTGCCGTAGTTCAGTATAATGATCCATATGCAGATGGGGATCCTGCTTGGGCCCCCAAGAATTATATTGAGAAAGGTAAGATTACCTTTGTCATCATTGACACCAAGTCATCATTGAATTGGTGTAAAGGAAAACAACCTAATAATAGAATTTTAGAGCTATGAAGAACATCTAATCCAGTGTTTTCAATCTTTTGTATAGCCTTTACCAGCCAAGATATATTTCCTATACATTCCCAATATAAAGGGAAGAGCCTTTATATTTTAAGTTAAAAGTATATAATAATCTTACATTTGCTTTTTCAAATGACATATGCTTCTAGCTGGAGAGTAACTTCCTTGTCTGCATTTTATAGATGATACAACTCAGGCACAAAAGAATGAAATGATTTACTAGTCATATAATTAGTAAAGATTTAAAACAAATTTTCCATGCTTATAAAGTAAAAGCAGAGACCTTTCATATCTAAATATTTAAAGATATATTGGAACTATCACAAGAAAAAGCCTCAATTAAGGCTTTCAGTTGATCGAGCTTATAAAAGAGAAGGTAATCACTAGAATTTAATTTCATTATAACTCTAATGTCCAAATTTAACTAAATTATCTGACATTCATTATAAGTATCTATTAAGAAATAGTGGGTGACAAAGAAACATGCTCTTTTTAGAGCTTATGTACTTTTTCCCATCCAGTTCTGTGCTATTTAAAAAACGTGTTTCTATATAGAGTTCTGAAAAATGCTTATAATTTAGTTAATCATATTTGATTGCATTTGAAATGTATTGTCTTCCATAGGCTTTATTGGTAACTGACCATAGGCAAGTAGCTGTAGCTCTTGAGACCTGTTGCATTCTCTCCTGCCCAAGTTTTGAATACATGGCTAAAAGTAAATTTGCTATTTCCATTTTTTAAAAAATATTTTTAAACAGTGAATATTCTACATTTCATTCAGGAAGTCTTGAATATTCTGCATTATGTTTAGTGTCTCACATATCTTCAAATAGAGATATGTTGTGGTTATTATGAGAGTAATAAACTTGAATAATCTTGAATTGTTTTTGCCCATATTTTCTGGCTTGGAAAAACAAATTTAAGTATCTGTGGAATATATATGTTGATAAATTTGGAATTATATAATGGTAACAGAACAGGATTTAAAAATGTCTTCGCAAATTGAAATGAGTCTTAAATCAGGGGTCATCACACATTTTTTATAAAAGACCGGATAAATATTTTTAACTTTCTTTAGAAATTGAGGTATAGTTGACATAACATTATTAGTTTCAGATGTACAACTTAATGGTTTGATATTTGTATATATTGCAAAGTGAAATATTTTAACCTTTGCCAGCCACGCAGTCTCTTGTCACAACTCCTTCACTTCACTGTTAGAGCACAGCGCAGCCGTAGACAGCACAAGAGTGAATGGATGTGGCTGTGTCCCAATAACACTTGATATATAAAAAAGGCACTGCCTTGGATTTGACCGTGGGCCGTTGTTTGCTGACTCTATTCTAAATCAAAACGTTGACATTTAGTAGGATTATATTTAAAGCCTTTAATAGTCACCTTTATGATCAAAAGATAAATAAAACCTGGTTTAATAAGATTTCAGTTGAATATATTAATCAACAGTATGACATGACTGTTCCAAAAGCCAGATTCTTAGGGTACATTAGCTGAACTTCAGCCTAATATGTACCAATTTGATCATATTTGTTTATGTTGGACTATAACTATGTCTAATTTTAAGTACCACATTTTAGGCTCTTAGATACAGGAAT